TGAGAAACACTGGTCTAGAAGCCTGGGGTCACGAACAGCTCATCCCCATTTGGTTCAGGAGTGTCTCCCATGTCATAATCGACCTATTCCTTAAAAATCCTACTTCTGTCCATGTTTACACATCAGATCCTATTTTCTCACTGATTTACCTGATAATTTCTGTAACTGGATGCTTTAACTGGAATGCATGTCATTGTTAATTGAAATTTATTTGTTAAAATGCAGATTTATGGCTCCATCACGGGAGAGAAGGTTCTGTATTGGGCCCAAATGTTAACTGTGATGAAGGTAGGGTTAATGCACTGGCCAGGTTTGAAGACGCTCAGCTTTCCAGCCTTGATCTAAATCCTTTCTGCAAAACCAACAGCCGTTTATATATATAGTGTGTCTAGGCTTTGAATTAATAACAGCTTTAAATAAGTGTTCAAGTGTTCAACATAAATAAAAGAATCTTAGAACTATTTTCAGAGGATGAAGCTTCCAATCCTCTCACTATTTAGATGGGGAAACTGAGACTCAGAGAGGTAACCTTTGTTCAAAGCCACAGCTTGCTAACGATAGAGCCAAGACTCACACCAAGCTGGGACTCTCATTCGACCATAATCCAAAGCCCCTCTTGTGTTCTAGACTCTTCCAAGAGGTTACAATCTATGAAGGTGCCTCCCCATCTTACTGACCCTGGTGTACATATGCACACTCCTGGCTAAGTAACAGGTGGATGTCACTGAGACTTGGGGGTGGAGGGGTGGGACCCAACCGCTGGGATATGTGTTCTGGAATGTCTAACTCAAGGCTCACTGGATTTTAGACTAATAGCAGAATTAACAATTCAGGAGCACATGGACACCCACCTCTACCTTCCAGAGGGCTGGACATTTCTAGAGCTGCTGCATGTAGTAAAGGAGGTAAATGTCTATTTTTAAAAGCTGGTGTTGAGTCCATGAGGAGTTCATTTTATTATGTATTATTCCTCATTATACTTACTCTTGCAAAATTATTTTATCATACAACTCATACTTAAAATACTATATTTCCTAATGAAAAAATGTAAAAAGAAAATAAGATGTGAGAGGGAAAACAAAGACCTCCAAGTGTGGCAAAGTAGACTTTTGAGAGACAGAAGTGGAGTCCACATTGGCACAGTCTGTCTGATCTTGTGTTGTTCTGTGGTGGCCGTTCTAAGAATGGGGTTCTCGTCATCATATGAGGAGTTGGGAGTCATATGTAACACTCTACACCCAGAAAAATCCCAAGTCATATGTAACACTCTACACCCATTTTTCTGGGTGTAGAGTGTTACATATGACTCCAATTCATTGTAGTAGAATTGCAACCAAAATAGAAAAAACAGGAGAAAACTATTTTGTAGCCTCAGAGTGAAGAGGGCTTTTGAATTTCAACCTAAAATCCAGAGGCCATTAAATAGAACAGGGAAATGTGAACACAAACTATAATAGTTGGCTTGGAAAAAAAAAAAATCATCCGCAAGCTCAAAAGACAAAACAATTGGAGAAAAACATTTGTAATCATACCACAAATTTCTACTATAGAAATTAAAGGGGATAAAAACAACAAACCAATAGGAAAACAATAATGTTCATGAAAAGACCACAGTGGAAGCAAATAAAAACCATTCCCATGGCTAAGATGGAAAGGGATATAAAATGTGTCTTTTCGATATCTACTAAAATTGAACATGTATTTTATAGCTTAGCAATTCCAGTCTTAGGTATATACCAAGATAAATGCACTCACTTGTGCAACAAAAGACATGCGAGAATGTCTTTCAAAACATCACTCATAATAGCCTCATCTGGGACACTCCACAAATGTTCATCAAGATTTGAAGAAATAGATGAATTTGTGGTGTATCCCCACAATGCAATTCTATACAGCAATGAGAATGATAGAACTGGAGTGATATGCAACCATTTCATAAACAGAATGTTGAGCTAAAAGAAGACAAACAAATAAAATAAAAAACATATGGTATGCTTTTATTTATATGTTAGAATAACAGGGGAAAAGAATCTACTTTAGAAGAGACGATGGTCCATGGAAAATAACGACTGGAAAAGGCTGTGGTTGGCAGGGTGGGTGTGTGAGCGTTCTGGGGATTGATGATGTCTTGTTAATTGACCTTGATGGTCAGTTTATACAAAGCCATCAAACATATTTCCTGCCGTTTTTGGTTAATCCTCACCCAGGGATATTTTTTCCACTGATTTTTTTTAGAGAAAGTGGAAAGGAGAGGAAGAGACAGAGAGAAGCATTGATGTGAGAGAGACATATTGAATGATTGTCTTCCAGGCGCACACTAATGGGGGCCGGGGATGGAGCCTGCAACCGAGGTCCATGCCCTTGACTGGAATCAAACTTAAGACCCTTCAGTCTAAGGGCCAACACTCTAAACACTGAGAAAAATGGCTTGTGCTATTTTCCACCTTTTTCAGCTCTATAAAACATTTTGAAAAACCCCTGCATGCCCGAATAAGCAGTATGTCCATGAGTTTTTGGTAAGCAATGGACTCAACATCCAAATACATGCTGTCATAGCCCCTGTCAGGATACCAAAGAGATTCTGAGACTGAAAGGACAAACTGCTATCAGCCCAAGATCCTGGGGGATTATTCAGAGACCTGGGCTTGGTGGTTCAGAGGAGGCCCCTCTGCCCCACCAGACACAGAAGCATTGAGGCCTTTGCAGAGGGCCCATGAACAGCCCAAGGAGGGGCTGTGGACTCACAATAATGCACTGTAGTAACATTTCACTAGCCAGGAAGCCCCATGACTGGGACACTATGTAATTTAATTTTCTGGAGAAGCAAAACTTTCCTCATTAAACAGCTTCTTCATTTAAAACAGAATCAGTTTTAGTGACACCCTTTCAAAAATGTATTCTGCACTTCCCTGATATTTAGTAAGTCCACAGAATAGAATTGAACCTTTACCCCAAATTACAGCACTAACAATCCGGTCAACTATTTGTGCCATGCGATTTCTGAAATGCTTGCAGGCACATTTTCTCATCAAACCCCTATCATTGAGTTCCTAGTATTCCCATTTTATACACGGGGCTGAGAGCCATTGAAATACTGTCCAAGTGCACAACACAAGTATCAGCAGGGGAGGAGAAGTGTGCTCTAACTCCACAGTCTAAACTCCTAACCACTATGCTGTCTTTTCTTATAGCCTCAGGAATTTTGCATCTGCTACACTGTGCATGCCACAGGTACACAAGAATATTAGATTGAATTCTCATCGCTTTTCTCTCCATATTGCACACCACAAGTATCAGCAGGGGAGAAGTGTGCTCTAACTCCACAATCTAAACTCCTAACCACTGTGCTGTCTTTTCTTATAGCCTCAGGAATTTTGCATCTGCTGCACTGTGCATGCCACAGGTACACAAGAATATTAGATTGAATTCTCATTGCTTTTCTCTCCATATTGCCTTTCTCCTTCATCAATGTTATACTGTTAGTTTTCACATAAAGTTATACCCAAAAGCTTCTACCTAAAATCAGTTAAAAATCTATATAGCATTGTGTTTCCAAATAAACTCTCAATCTCCTTAGATCTTTCTGTGAAGAAGAAGAAGAAGAAGAAGAAGAAGAAGAAGAAGAAGGAGGAGGAGGAGGAGGAGGAGGAGGAGGAGGAGGAGGAGGAGGAGGAGGAGGAGGAGGAGGAGGAGGAGGGCAGGGAGAGGGGGAGGAGGAGGGGGAAAAGGTGGAAGAGGAGGAGGAGGGGGAAGAATGAAACAAACAAACAAACAAACAAACAAAAGACCCAAAATGGAGTCACTTATGCTAAGCCCCACATCAGCAAACCAAGACTTAATTGCGGTTTCAGCTTCTCCCAAGAATATGACCTTTAACCAATCTGGTCTGCACTAGTGAGGCAATCTGCCTGACTACTGCCCTTCCCCAAAGGAGTGACCTAGCATGAAATGATCCACTTTCTGCTAGAAACTTCTTTTCCTTTCCCTTCTGCCTATAAAAGCCTTCCATTTTGCACAACTCCTCAGAATTCCTTTCTAGTTGTTAGATGGGATGCTGTCCAATTTATGAATCACTGAATAAAGCCAATTAGATCTTTAAATAAACAGTGGTGGTTCAAAACAAATCACCCCAAGATGGGCCACTCTGGGGTGCAGATTAGTTTAAACTGAATACAATGGAGGCCCAGAAGGCTCAGAAGGAAACCTTGTCCTCGCCCCTTTCCTGCCTAAGAGTACTTGCTCTGGGAAAGGGGGTGTCAACTATAATTAATATAACTATATTTTAATGTGACTCGATAACTGTAGTTTAATGTGACTAAGTGCAGAGACAGGGAGGAACCTACCAAAGCCCATTTGATACCTGTCCTCCATGTCCCACTGTTTGAAGGTGGCCCAGCAAACATCTGTTTACTAAACATTAACTTTTTTCATCCCCTTGTGAAGTGCCTTAACTTCCTTTTGACTGGTCCCTTCACCCTACTCCTTAGTCCAGAATGACACATATACCTCATTTTACCTCACTGCCCTTGGAATTTTCGTGCTTTTGTGAATTTTCCATGGTCATGTATTAAACTTGATTTTCTCCTCTTACTCTGCCCATGTCCTTCTAATTATTCTACCGGCCAGAAGAACTAAAAGGAGCAGAGGAAAGTTTCTCCACCCCCCAAGGAATTCAGTTGAATTCTGTTTTTTAACATTTCTATTTGGGTAAAATAGCCCATAGAGTTGGGGCAACTTCTTTATCAGCTTAAGAAACCCCACTGGCTCTCTGCATTGCAAAGTGGCCTGGATTTGCCTTTCCTTAACTCAGAAGGAAACCTGTGGTGCTCATCAGATTAACAAAAGCAGCCCTTAACGGGTGCATCTGGCTGCCCAGCTCTCCAGAAGACATGTGGGGGGTAGGGGGTGGGGCAGATAAGGACCAAGGCATACAGAGAGTCATTTTCTGTGAGGCTTATCAGCTAGCAGGCCTGTGGAGAAAAAAACGCCACCATCCTTACCCTGTTTTCAAGCTGACCAAGGCATCCTCTACGCCCTTCTGATTATATTTGGTCATGTACTGATGCATATAAGGGTAGTTATTCCGAATGTTTCTTTCCGTACTGCCATTGGGCACCGTGCCAAATCGAAAAGGTGGGGAATAGTCGTGAGGTCTCTGAAACTGGAGAGAGAGAGAAAGAAGGAGAAGGAAGAGGAGGAAGAAAAGAAGTCAGCCATCACTTTGCCTTGGGTCAGGAGTTAGACATATACATGCATTAGTACAGCAAAAACACATCCAGTTTTTTAATCACATCTCCCACTGGTCTGTAAGCTCCAGGGTCTGTCTCGTTCCATGCTCTTCCTCAGTACATACTGGCTGGACACACAATAGATACTTGTTACACTAAACTTTTCGGTGCCATTGTAGACAGTAGCCTAGTGGTGGGCATTGGGGACCTGGCAGAGCTCAGGAAATGCTGGTTGAGCAGGAATGAAGGTATTATTTTCATTTGGTTAATTTATCCATCTTATGATAAAACTAGAAGCCTGGTGCATGAAATTTGTGCATGGTTAGAGTCCCTAGGCCTGGCTGGCAATCAGGGCCAATCAGGGCCTTTGGAATGCTGGCTGGGGCCTTCCTTGTCTGGCTGCTGGCTGCTGGCCAGGACCTTCCTTCATTCTGCACCATCCCCTGGTGGTAAGCACACATCATAGCACCAGGAGCAGTCAAACTCCTAGTTGGTTGAACTCCCAGTTGGTTAAACTCCAAAGAGGATACTTTGCATATTACCCTTTTATTATATAGGATTTTCTGTGATCCCCACCAAGCATTCTGAACTCCATTTACAATGACCTTCACCTCACCCAGAAGATGATGAAGGGGAGCAGATTTTGCCACCCCAAAATATGTTTCTTTGGCATAAGGACTATTTGGGACAGATTCTTAAAAAACAAAATAACAAAACAAAAAACAGAAGACATGGGAGAAGCTCTGAAAATGAAGAAGTTAGCCTCCTGAGAGAGACATTTACATTTAAGAGGAAAATCTCCTTTTGTAGGGTGTCTTTCTTGCTGTACCTCAAAGAGGAAGGTGACTAAATCTCTAGGAACGATGGAAAAGGCAACTGACTTAAGTCTACATAACAAATTTACCCTTGTTAACTGTGCTTTCCTGGTAACCTTGGGTAATTGGTGCCCTCCCTCCCCCCCAAAAAAACCCCGAAAAACAAAAAACTCCCCATATTTTGTATTTTTTTAGTTGGAGATGGTATTTAAGGTGGTAGCTTGGGCTATTTAAGGAAGTTACTTAGTTTTCTTGGGTATTTTCCATATATATGAGAGTTAGACTTGTTATTAAATTTGTTTTTTCTCTTATTAATCTCTTATTATTGGAAGGAGAGGGGCGTTCTCAGCCAGGAACCTAGAAGAGTAGAGGAAAAGTTATTTTTCTTCCCCTACAATGACTGTATGTCACCACCGACTCATTTTCTGCTCAATCATTCATCCATACATGCAGTATTATCGAAGGCCTAACGTATGATACTTCAGGCATAAAGACAGACTCATGAACATTTGTTAAGCTGATGTCCCTACTAAGCATTAGTTTCCTGGGGTATGCCTATGTTGTGAATGGCCCTCAGCCTTCATGAAAGCTCACTGTCCATGTTCCACTAGTTTTCCATGATTGGCTGATACTGTCCATTCACAACTTCAGCATTTGGGGCAGCCCAACTAGATTATGAATCCATAGAACTGGGTCTGAGTCCCCAAATCACAGTGAAAATCTAGAGGCAACACAGGCCAATGGCTACAATTCTGAGCTCGGGTCCACAGGTTGTAAAATCAGGTTCCATCACTTCCAAACTGCGGGACCTTAGACAAGACACTTCTCTTCACAGTGCCTCCATTTATTTTGCACCTGTAGAGTGGGGAACACATCAGTCCCTCTCCTTTAAGGGCAATGGGAAGGCCTAAAATTATAACATTTGTCAAGTAACTAGAATAGTGCCTGAAACAGAGTAAGCACTCAAAAATAAAACTATTATTATTTTCATTTTTATTGTCATTATGAGCAAAAAAAAAAAAAAAAGGAATGTGGTCTTCAGTTTTTTGTGAAATATAAAACTCTGAAAGTAGAAAATGATGTAATGAGACAACAGCTAAGGTCTGACCTCCATTGTTCCTCAGAGATCATGCTAGGAGCCCCTGCTCTTTCAGAGGTGAGGACCTTGAGACCCAGAGAGAAAAAAGAGACCCAGCAATTCCATGGCAGAACTAGGGCTGGAATCCAGAGGTCCCTTAGACTTCCAGGCCAGTATGCCCTCCACGGAGCTGAGAACTGCCAGAGAAAACATGCACGTTTACCAAAGAGTCTGGCTAACCATATAAGTCTTTTTTTCAGACTTCATTTGACTGTTGAAATTTCCAGTTGAAAACCATTTCACCTAAATTAAGCTGCTGTTGCCTAATAAGCTACCACAACAGGATTTGAGAGAAGTGGCCATACATTGTCCAAAGGAGAGCCTTTGGAGTGTGAGTGTGTGTGTGTCTGAGTGTGTGTGTGTGTGTGTGTGTGTGTGTGTGTGTGTGTGAGAGAGAGAGAGAGAGAGAGAGAGAGAGAGAGAGAGAGAGAGAGAGAGAGAGTGTGTGTGTGTGTGTGTGTGTGTGAATAATAAAATGCTCTTTGCACCCAACCCAGACAGCAGCAGCTCAACTCATCACTGAAAGAGGAGGAGGCCCGAGCCCAGGCTTGCTCGCTCGTCGGGCAGCTGCCTGCTCTGGGAGATAGAGACAACAGCGGCAGTTCATAATCTAGGTGTTGCAGCAGCCGCTCCCAGCCTCCAGAGAGAGCCAACTTGACTAACTGCCTCTACTTCCTGCCCCATCTGTTGCAGAGGAGCTGAGGAGCTCTGTTAGAGTCCCTTTGTCCCTGCCTCTGGTTTGCACAGCAACAAGCAGATCATCAGCCTCTGTGTTGAATTCCCATGCTCCACTGGCCTTGACTGTACCACTATCCACACAGAAACCAGCCCAGCACCAGGATCCAGGAACCCTTCCCACTGGACTCACGGCTGACAAAGGTTTTACAGCATGACTCACAATACATCTTCCACTGCCACCTTGCACGCGCGTGTGCGCGCGCGCGCGCGCGCCACACACACACACACACACACACACACACGTGCGCGCGCACACACCACTTCCCAGTGCTCACTCTTTCAACATACCTGATGGAATCCATGATGCTCTATCTTTTGAATGGTCACACCCCCTACATTAATTTCACAGCTAAGAAGTCACAGTCTACAGTGTGAAGAAGAGGGGCAAGCACGACTCATCTCCTGAAGTCCCTGGCCCTCGTGTCAAGGACACAGTCTGTGTTTCTTGGAGGAATAGTTTCTGGTGCCACATTCTCCCAGGGAGTTTCCCGTGAAAGAGACCAATGTGGGCTTTAGCGTAGGGATGGGGATGCAGAGGCTTACACGGCCAGAAGGACTGCAGAACAATGGAATCACAACCCCACACCCAGTGGAACCCCTCATGGCTTCTTTCCCCAGGCCACCCTCACTGTTCTCCTTTACCGGCTTCCCTTGAACTTGTGCTCAGAGCATTCAGCTTCTCATGTGCCACTTAGGAACCCAGTCATTGTGAGCAGCTGCGTATGTTCCCTGAGCCTCAGTTTCTCTGTCTGTAAATTGGGGGTTGCTGTGGCGATTAATCGGCAAACTGTGGCTCACGAGCCACATGTGGCTCTTTGGCCCCTTGAGTGTGTCTCTTCCACAAAATATCATGGCCTGGGCAAGTTTATTTGGAAGAAATGGCCTTAGAAGAAGTTAAGTTTAAAATTTGGCTCTCAAAAGAAATGACAATTGTTGTATTGTTGATATTTGGCTCTGTGGACTAATGAGTTTGCCGACCACTGCTTTAGCCACATAATGAGCCAGTGTCCTTCCACTGTGGAGAACAGAGGATTAGAGGGTTATAACATTCTAATGATTTTCCTCATCCAGTATATGGCCAGGTCTGAAAGTCATCCAAGTGATTAAGACATGGCAAGCAATTTATGATGGAGGACGTAGAGATGCTGGCCTGGGAAATAAATGAAGAATGTGGCAATGGACCAGGACATTTCTCTGTTCCTCTTGTGAACCAACACTTCACATTTATTAGAAATATCTGTCTTCTGTGGCTATAAATCAGGAACACTGGCAACTAGAGGCCCTATTTCTAGTTCAGTCTTGTCCCCCTGGTGGAGTTCCACTGGCTTCCTGATGGCAGCATCAAACAGCTATGGCCCTTACGAGGCTCAAAGGCCTCCATTCAATCAATGTGTATGGTGGGCCAGGGCCACCAGCAGCAGGACTGCAGTGCCCAGAGGCAGCCCGGCTCCACAAGAACCAGGGGCAGTTCCCCCAAGTCCCTCCATTGTTGTCACAAAAGGCCAACTCAGGGCAATATCATTTTAGACTCCAGAAGTAAGGAATGATTGGATCAGTCAGAGACGGTGATAATGAGAAAGAGAAGGGTGATGAAGAGAAGGGCAGGAAGATGCAGTAGGTTACTTCTAATCCTCACATCAACCTTGCCAGCTGATATTAACACCCCTTCCCCCCCCCCCCCCCCCCTGCTTTGATTAGGAAACTAAGCCTTGGGATTCTGACATACTGAAGGCCATATAACCATTATATGGCAAGGCCAGGATTTGAATCCAGGTCCATTTGACCCCAAATATGACATTGCTCTTCCCACTACATTAAGCTGCCTCCCAAAGATGGGTCTTCCCTACCATAGTGAGTCCCAACAGTTTGGATTTCCAACTTCCCTTTAATAATTCCCAGGGGAGCAGCTACCAGTGAATCCGCCCACTTGTTATTTAAACGCAAGCTCATCTGATCACACCACGGACTCCAAAGGTGCCTCTGCACAGCAAGCACTAATCCTGTAAATGGCTTCATATGTTGTAAACCTGAGTTGTTACACAGGTATTCGTGTTTAAAGAGAGAGAGAGAGAGAGAAACTCACTGTGAACAGTATCAAAACAAATTGACTCAATATAGATTTGTATTGTGCAAACTTTCTCGGCGTATCTGCTATTAATCTTCTGGGAGCATTTAGCTTATTTACTCCAAGAACGGTGCTGTTTATCTAATTGTATCAAACATTTAATTAAAAGAGCTCTCTGCTTGCCGCCGATGCTCCAAGGTTGCATCTGAGCTGGGTCCCGTGAGGATGCAGTATCTGTTACTAGGTGTTTCCAAACGAGAGAAGGTCGGTCAAATTATTAGTGGTTCTAATTAGTTTTCCCACAAGCGGCCATATTATTTAGAACCAAAACTATGTAGCAGGGGATTTTTCCCCTCGCCTTTGAAAATAGCAACAAAAAGCAGAGTGGACTGCCAATGATTTTTCTTAAAATATCCTCGCATCCAGGACATGGCTCCCCAGTGCTTCCCCTGCACCTCCAGTCACTTCTTCTAGAAACTGCACCTTTGCTCCCATAATGTGACAGAGTTGGGTCACGGGGCATTGTGCCCGTGGGGGACTTATAGGCGCTAAAGTACTTGCATGCTTGCAGTCTCCTTTCATCCTCCTACAACTAGGATTCCCCACTGACAGGGGGGGGGGTGAGGAGACATGGCAGGTTCCATGCCAGGAAAGCATCTCGGAGCCTGTATATAGCTGAGAGGAAATGGGACCCAACTTTCCATCTCTAAGTGAGGGGCTCTTTTATCTGCTGCCTTACAGATGCGGTACACTTTAGGTAGGAGTTAGTTAGCAGACGACCCTGAGCCAAGGACTTGGGTGAACTTGACTTACTAAGGAAGGGTGCCAGGAGAAACCAGGGAGGGAGTGGGAGAAGGGGGTCAGGGGAAGGAGGAAGCCGAGCCAGGGTGTAATTGTAGGCAAAGTCTCAGCCTCTGCCTGATCTAACAGGTAGCTCTGGAGAGGAAGCTGCTTCGAGTTAGCCTTGCCTGGAAGCAACAGAGCAGCTGGGCGTTTGTACCCTCACACAAGTTATGGTTGGTTACAGGCACCTGGAAAGATGGGAGAACATACATTCCCAGGCATTCACAATTCCTGTGCCCAAAGGTAACTATCCTGTGAAGATCCCTTGTATGAGCCTTTATACAGGGGTTCTCAACCTTTCTAATGCTGTGACCCTTTAGTACAGTTCCTCATGTTGTGGTGATCCCCAACCATAAAAGTATTTTTGAAGCCAACCATAAAATTATTTTAATTGCTACTTCCTAACTGTAATTTTGCTACTATTATATTATAAATTATAATGTAAATATCTGTTTTCCAATGGTCTTAGGCTCTAGAGCAGTGGTTCTCAACCTGTGGTTCATGACCCACAGGTTGAGAACCGCTAGCAAGATTCTCAACCTAAGACTTCAGAAATAGATATTTAATTATGATAATGATTCATTAACAGTAGAAAAATTACAGTTATGAAGTAGCTTCGAAAATAATTTTATGGTTGGGGGTCACCACAATATGATGAACTGTATTAAATAGTTGAGGCATTAGAAAAGTTGAGAACCAATGCTTTATAGCAAAGGTGAGGCTGGGTGCACAGAGCTGGAAAAGTGATCTCAGAACAACTGGGGGGGGAGGGCGGTTTCCAATAGTGTCCAACACCATGATTTCTTCATTCATCAGTGAGTATGAACTGAGTACCTGCTAAGTGCCAAGTAACTCTTTCATATGCACTCTCCTGATATCCCCTTCCCCAAGTCAATTTTAATTTTTTAAAAATTTGATTTATTGGGGTGAAATTGGTTAATATAATGATATAGGTTTTAGGTGCACAATTCTATACTACATCATCTGTATATTATATTGTGCATTTGCCACCTCAAGTCAAGTCTCCTTCCATCACCATTTATCTCCCCTTTACCCTCTTTTATCTCCTTGCACCCTGCTTTCCCTCTGGTAATCAGCATACTACTGTTTGTGTCTATGAGTTTTTTGCTGTGTGTGATTTTTTTGCTCTCAGTCTGTTTTCTGTACCTATGAGTCTGTTTCTATTTTGTTTGTTACTTTATTTTGTTCATTAGCTTCCACATATAAGTGAAATCATGTGCTACTTATCTTTCTCTGACTGGCTTATTTCACTTAGTGTAACACTTTCTCCAGGTCCATCCATGTTATCGCAAAAGGTAAAAGTTCCTTCTTTTTTATGGCCGAGTAGTGGTCCCATTGTGTAAATGTCCCACCGCTTTTTTATCCACTCATATGCTGATGGGCACTGGAGCTCCCCAAATCAATTTTAATCTCATTGGTTTTATCTCCTTTATAGAACTCATTTCTGCCTGGAATTGTCTCCATTTACATTTACTTGTTTGACTTTTATTTCTTTCTACTGCAATTTGAGTTTCAGGGGAGTACCAGCTCAGGCTGCCAAGTTCACCGCAATGAAGACCAGTCCCAAAAGGTGATATCTTCCCCACGACCTGAATGTCATGGAGAACCAGTGATGAGAATGGGAAGACACAGGAGGCAGAGGACACAGAGTGCAAGGGCACCAGGCTGGAAATGAACTTGGAGTTTTTGAGAGGGAGGGGATATATGGCATCAGCCAAAACATAAAGGGCTTTGTCGCCATGGTGTGTAGGATGGCATTTACTCAAGCTACAGCGGGAAGCCATGAAGTACCTAAGGTGATGGCACTTTTGTGAGGGCGACTCACTCCAAGCCCTCGTCATCTCTTTGTCGCAGGCTCCTCTGTCCCTTGTTCAACCAGAGCAGATAACACGGAAAAGCTGTTAGGGCTTTTTCTGCACTGATTTTCTATTCAGCAACTTATTGATGAATGCCAAAAGCCTATATGTAGACTTATGTCAACAAGACGAGATGGTGAGATTTTATAGAGACAAATTATCCACACACACAAGACAGAAAATCTTTGCAGCGCTGCAATCCCTGTACTGCTGAGCTTAGCAAGTTGGGATGTGTTTTTGGAGGCTAGAATTTCAATAGCAGGATGCACCCCATTTACCTCCTTTCTTCCTCCCTGTGCATTTCTGAATAGCCACGCATACTCCGCGAACCTCCTTCCATTTCCAGGGAGAATGAGAGCAGGTGTGATCACTCTCCTCTCACAGCAGTAAGCACAGCCCCGTGGGGGAGGATGGGAGAGGTATCTGAGTAAAAGGCACTGGTGGGAAATGAAAAACTGATCCTTTCAAGTCCCTTGAAGACATTTCAGGTGAGCCAGGTGTGCTGAAAATGGGACTGATTGGCCACCGAGTAAAAAGTAGCTGTCAAACTCAGCCAGCATGGCTCAGTGATTGAGCATTGACCCATGAACCAGGAATTCAGTTTGATTCCCAGTCAGAGCACATGCCCAGGCTGTGGGCATGCAGGAGGCAATTGATCAATGATTCTCTCTCATCATTGATCTTTCTATCTTTCTCTGCCTCTCCTTTCCTCTCTGAAATCAATAAAAATCTATCTTTTATTTATTTTTTTTTAGCAGCTGTCAGCTTCCTCTCTGGATAGGGCTTAGAGATGATATTTTTTTTCATGTAATAGATGCAGACTCCACGGCATGGAGTCTTTAAGACACTCCTCCAAGATCACAGAATCCAGAGGTATCTATAGCCTAGAGCACCCACTCCACCCCAAGTTTGTCCTCGTCCAGGCTCAGGATCTTCCTCAACGTCACACTCTCCCAGAAAGGATGGACTGCAACCAGAGCTGGAACCCTGAGCCATAGCGCCTCATCACTGGCAAGAGCATCTAAATAGAAGGATTGGCAGCATGGGGAAACTGCTCCCAAATTAGATCTGGAACCTTTCATATCTAGGAGAGCTAAGCTATGGTTCTGTTCCCAGCATTTTCAGAAATACCATTGAAATGGAGAGGGGGGAGGGGGAGGAAAACTCCTCTGCCTTTGTGCTTGAGTGGATGAGTCTGGATGACAGTTCCTGAATTGCTCCCTTCTGAGGGAAGAGCATTTGTGATCCCCCCCTCAGGCAGAGAGGATAGCAGGGTCACCTTACCTTTTTGTCACTGAGGCCAGTCACTTGGTCCACAAATTCCTCCTGGATCATGAAAGCGGCCAGGTTGGCCGTGTAGCTGGCCAGGAATATGACAGCAAAGAAGGCCCACACGGACACCATGATCTTGCTGGTGGTGCCTTTAGGATTCTGGACAGGCACGGAGTTGTTGAACACCAGGCCCCAAAGGAGCCAGATAGCTTTTCCAATCGTAAAAGAAGGCCCGTGGGGTGCTGCAAACGACAGAAAGGACATGCTCAGCATCTTCCCAAACTGTGAGTGCTTCATAACTACGCGATGGCCACTGACGGCTGCTAGAAGACGGAATTATGTCACACTTGTGTCCCTTCATTGCCTCAGAACCACAGCCACCGTATCTCCCTTTTTCCTTTAAACATTAGAATTTGTCCTACATTTCTATCGAGCTGGGTTTTTGCCACGTTCCTTAAAAGAAAATAAAAACAAGAAATTATTATGCAAAACGTGGGTTTGAGCGAGAAGCAGTGTTATGACCAGTTTTAAATTTGGATTTGATTTCCATTGGGAGGGCACACGTCTCGATAAAATGTAAAGAATGCTTTACAGAAACATGGGATGGGGAGGGGATTGTTTCAGTATTCACCCCATGTGCATAAGAACCATGCAATTCAGTGGGACTGGTATTTGGTATTCTAATGCGGTGGTCCCTAGCACTTGCTCCCATTCAAACTCAGATGTCAAGTGTTCACAATAGAGGAATTAAACCCCACGAAAACTCTCTCCAAATGGAGACATTAAGGAACAGAACCATGGGGCTTCAATTTTCAAACACTTCACAGATGGAAGACGCTTGGTCGCAGGATCACGGAACACGAATGGTGCTATCAGGACACTCTTCCTCTGTGTGAACACTTGTGTCCCTAAGATTCTCAGATGTTCTCTGCAGCAGACTTAACTCAAGAGGCAGAACAACATGTTGAAATGTGGGGTGAGGAGGATGCAGACCAGAAAAAGCACACGGTAGGGCTTCCAGAACGGTTTTGCCCAAGAGGGGGGGAAATCGATGTATGCCCTCATTTCATTGTAGAAAAGGTCTTCCTTTAACAGAAGGTTAATTTTTATGCCATTTAAGTAAATGAAGATGTAAAAAAATGATCTCCTCACACTTCAGCTGGAGATGCAGGCAGAGTGGGCCATAAATAAAACGGCAGAAGTGAATGCAGATTGATGGAAGTGATGAAGTTCTGGGCAGAGAGCCTAGGAGACACAGGCTTTTCCCACAATGGAGGCCAAATGCAGGCTATAGCGATACTTACAATACCCACACACAACGCATAAAAGAAAAGGCAACTAATTGCATTCTTTTCGACCTCCGTCTCTCCTGTTTCTCTTTGCCCAGTTTTATGATCTTCTGGGCTCATTCCCAGCAGGCCAAGAACTCAAGAAAAAAATAATGAGAGTCAATCCACTTAACTTCACGAACCACTTCATTTTATTAAGAGTGCATGTTGATCAGAAGTGACAGTGCTTGGGGAATCAGAAACGGGCAGTTGCAAAGGATCTGTCTGAGACTTTTGGGAATTCCTGAGTCATGAATATCATTATGAGGCCACATAATTTCCTCATGAAGTGCAGTGAAATGGAAGCAAACCCTATTTTGCACAAAGAAACAAGTAGCTGCTATTTCCTGAGCTTCCATATGCAGTTGAGCAAGAAATAGAAAGCCCTGGTGTAATGGAAAGGCTAGATAGTTCACATGTTAGGTTCTTTTCTTTACAATAATCTTCTTGTGAGTGCTTCCACCAAAGGAGAAATTATTGCACATGATGGCCTCTGAATGATATTTTTTTAAATCTCTGAGACATATCTCAAATTTATCTACTTACCTACATCTCCATTACTCCATCCAAGTCCAAACCACTGTGGTCTTTTCTCTTGGGGATTGTAACACCTTCCTACCTGGTCCCTTTCTTCCCATTGTCTTGACAGAGTGGCTCTAGAGACCTTCCACACTGGCCATCTTTCATGTCCTCCCCCCACCCCTTCCTTTCCATTATATATTGAAGAAAACCTGAAATGCTTATCACAGTCAACAGAATTCATCTTAAATCACTGTCCACTTCTCTCACTCACATCTTCTCTGTCTGTTAAGCATATCAAGATCTGTCCCTAGCCAAGGCCTTTGTATTTGCTGTTCCCTCCGCATGGAATGCCTTTCCCTCAGCTTTTCTCATGACTAAGCTCTTCTCATTCTTCAGGTCTCAGCTCCAGTGCCATCTTTTCCAAAAGTCCTTCCTTGCTTGACCATCTTGTCTAAGTAGCCTCTCCATTCCATCATTTCACTTTGTTTCCCCCCACTTCTTCTTGAAATTTATTATAATCTGTGATTATTAATTCATGTATTTACATGATGCCTACACAACTAAACTCCCAGTTCCCTGTGGGTCAGGGAAGTTTCTATCCAATTTACCACTTTATCCCCCTAAACCAGTACAGTGGCTGGCACATAGCACCCTCTCAACAAATAGTCACCAAGTAAGTGCACCAATTCATAAATAGCACAGACGCTAATTCTGCACATGTGAAGTCATACTCTTCTGATCACCCACAGAAAATCATCTCAGGTTCCACTCTATCAGAAAGCTCTTTACTGATAAAACTCATTCCATCACCCTGTTAATGAGGACCTGAGTTATGCTCCCATTCAAATTCACACAATTTTTATGATATTTTTACTATGTTTGATTTATTGGAGATGGTTTATGTAATAATCACCACTCTTCAGTGGTGAAGAAAAAGTGGGAGGAGAACAGTAAAACAAAGTTCCTAATAGATTCCCAGGACTGGATGGCTCTTTCCAACATTGGATCTTCCGTGGGAAAAGAATATGCAAATTAAAGCATCCTGTTTTTGAATAATTGTACCTTGAAGATCTGCTGTCTCTACAACCTCCAGTCATTTTTCATGGAGGAGAGTTGGTCCTGGCACCTTTCAAATATACCATCCACTTAGAATTTATTGTGCACTGGGGAAAATTCACTCAAAATGATGTAATGTGTTTATATACATGACATGAATATTGGCTTGCGTGGGAGCCTCTTAATAAGTTACAGCTAATGAATGCCTCCCAATTCAATTTCCTATCTACCGATTGCCACTTTGTCAAACACATTGCACTAAGGTCAGGCACTGTCAAGAGGAAAATATAACTCTTTGGGGGAAAATACCATTTTATAATTACATTTATTATTGAACAAATGTAATTATGATGCAGTACTTTGGATGATATTCTTAGAGTAGATTCTGTAAAGCCATTTTCTTACACAGACTAAAGTTGAGACTCACTTCAATTTTAATATTTCTCTTGACACAGATATTTTAAATTAATGGCCAAAAAAATATTCATCAAATCTGCTTACTCGACAACTGAAATACCAGTTTTCACTTAACTATGAACTCCATGTTATAACAAGACAAAATGCTTCATTTTGTTTTATCTTTTTTTTTTTGACATGAATAAGCAATACTTGTGTGGGATTAAAAGTAATATCAATGACCCTTCATACAATGGGTTAGCAAGGCAAATAGAGGATCACGTGTTCTAAATCTGAAATGTTAATGGAAAATAAACAGCATTACTGTTGAATCATGTTAAGGGGTTCTCACCTTTCCCTTTGGCTAAGTTTCTGTTGTATCCAACAGGGCTAAAGTATTCAAAGACAAAAACAGCGATGGCGGACACGATGAGCAGCATCACAAACATCATCACCCAGACGGAGGCGCTGAACGGTTCTGCAGAGAAACAGGCCAGAGGGATGGAAACGTGTTCAGTTTGCTCTTCCTCGCAGCCAGGGCCAGCTGGAAGCCCAGAGGCCTATTTGCAGGCTCACCGAGAAACTTTCTCTAATGTGCATCTGATGGTTCAAAGGGAGCTTGTCATTTTTTATTCATACATTTGAACCATTCTTTATTCTACAAAATATTTGAGGCACTTTTATAAGACTGCACAGGCTAGGATAAAAATAAAGAAGCGCATATGACATTTTACAAATCAGGTCAAGGATAATAAGAGACAAAACAGAATGATAATACTAGGGGTGGAAGATAGAATGCAAATAAAGAGGTCACAGGAACCTATATAATCATAGAATCATCTGGAGAACCAAACCAGGGTTAGACTCCAATAGTCGACAATCAAGCTCCTTATAATTAGCATGAGTTTTATTGTTTTAATTTTTATTTTTCTATGCTGGAAGGATGGTGTGCAGGGGATTCTAGACGTAATGGGAGAGTTACAACCTGTTAGAAAAGGATCATAATATGTAAGGTTGATAGGAATATTGGAAGGCCGTGTTTGCACCACTGCTAATACACTCTCCCTCTCACCTCCTGCTAAGACAGGTGAGATCTCTGCAGTTTCAGAATCTTGTTGATGTTAGTAATGGGCTTCAATGCAATTGGAAAGTCATTTGAGGGCATTCCCATGATAACTCAATTAAAGGGCAGAGGAAATGAAATAGTAGATGGATAAATGACTAGTGTCCCTAAAAGTAGTTTTCACCAGTCCATTTTTATGTGGAGGTCATAGGAGGGCAGGCCAACACACAAGGTTCTAAATCTTAGGACACTCTAAAAAGGTAAGAGATATCCTATAAAATAAATGAACATTTTTATTCAATCTGATTGAGGATATGAAAATAAGCTGAATAGAGGCATTTTATCTGTGTATGACATATATTTGCTAGAAAACCAGCAGACTAAAATATTTAAAATGAATATACAGGGTGGGGGGAAGTAGGTTTACAGGTGTTCATATGGAAAATAGTACAATACTTAATAAGTATTAATATAAGAATAAACTCTGTGTTTCATGTACTCACAACTATAAACCTACTTTTGGCCTATCTTGGATCCCCATCAGAAAGCATCATTAAAAAGAAACTGCCTTTGACACCAATGAACTTATAATCCTTTTCATCACAAGCAAACATTTTCTGAGGGTAAAATGTAAGAAGCCCAATAATACTTTTTGACAATAGACATTTTATTATTTTTAAATTGTTTTTCTGATGGAGCTAGTCATACTCATGAAGAACTAGGCTGTTAGCAGACCACCTTCTTATTAAAGTCTGTAACTACCTAACAGAGCTAGAGGTCATCACCAATTCCCATTTAATGACCTTAATATATAACAAGAAACTAATATATCTGAATCTTTAACTGTATTGGATACTTCTAAAACTTTTTAATGTTTTTATTGTTTGATTCTGAGAGACACACACAAAGAGAGAGACATCAATCTATCATACTTTCCTATATCAGCTGTACTATTTGCAATGCAGTTTTGAAAGTGAAAATATGTTAAAAAGCAATAGAAAACAATAGAATTCACTTGACTTATATAACACAAGATGAGCCTGAAGAAATCACTGAGACAACTGAAATTTATCTTAGTTAAATTTAGCTTGAGTAATAAACAATATTAGGTCCCCGAAATAACAGAATTTGATAATGAGGTGTATCCAAAAAGGGAGAGAAATAAATGAATAATGAAGAGATTAAAATTACTTAATATTAAAAATAGAGATGTTAAGTTAATTCTCCAGGTTTGATATACTAATGGGATAGTGAGTCTTAACAGAGAGGATCATTGTGATGAACAAATGAACATATGCATGGGAAGCATTTGGTAGTATGTGCTGCACACTGTATACATGTAACAGATTGGATGAAATAGCTGTTTGATTCTACAGTAAAAGCAAGACTCTGTGGTGCTGTTCGGGGTCCTGAAAATGCATTCTGGTGTTTAAAAGATGGCCACTTACTGCTCTAGTAACTATCTTTTCTCTGCAGGTTGTAATAATATTATACTGACATGTAAGAATCTGTGAACATGCAGTGGGCTTCATTTAACATTTGATTCATCCTAGTCACTCACTGGTCAGAAAATTAGGTGGATGCTGAGCAAGTAACTGATGTCGGATGATTTCCAACTTGGAAGGGACAACATCTATCCCCTGACTTATGAGCATGGCACAGAAATAAAAGTGTTCTGCAGCAGGATTCTGATATTAGTAAGTTTAAGTTAGGTTCCTATTAATGTCCTGAAAGATTGCTATCATCAGATAGCACACCTGCACGTGCTAGCGTGTACACACACACACACACACACACACACATACACACACACACACACCACAACAAAGAAAAGCATTAGAACACTGGTGAAGCGCTATCTATAATGTCTAAGGAGTGACCCAGAAATATGTTTGGATAACTCTGGATGACATCCTCTACTGGCTTAAAACTGATTCAACATTTATCCATGTGGGAACTTCAATCTATGAGACTCCAGGTCAGCATTTCTTTGGATCAAAGAATCCAACCTGCTTAGAAAGTCTTTAGAATTAAATGAATGGAAATATTGCAAGATATGTCATCTCTGTCCTTGAAGAGCTGCTGGTTACATTTTTACACAAAAGCTTAGAGGCATTACCTGCAAGGGTTTCTGATGTGAGTTAATGGGGCTTGCGGAGGAGAGAGAATAGGAAATAATGAAGAGCCATGCCATCAGATTTTGAATGTTTTGGCTCTTCCAGATGACTGGGCCAGTGAATGGAAAAAATGTAGCTTAGCCTGCTTCATTATGGCTTTGAAAACCTGCAGATAATGACCGTAAATAAAGGGGTGCACAGTCGATCGAATAGGGATGTAATTTAGTAGCTAGGAAAAATATTAAGCCTACTGGGTAAAAACAACTTCGAAAATAGTGTCTAGCTACAAATTATTTTGTTTTATTTTATTTTAGAAATACAGTAGGAAGAGTAAGGCGGAAAGGAAGTTTGACTAAATTTAGCAAAAATACTTGACTTTTTATGGAAATGCTCTACTAATGCAGATAAGATAAAAACCTAGGGAAACTGGTTGAAGCCAGATTCAATATCAGTGACCCATTTTTATGAAATAAGCCAATTGATATTGTTGTCTCTCTGATTGAACTGGAAAGAAAGTTCTGTCTAGCTCACTAAGAAGATATGTGGACAGTTTGTGAAAAGAAAAAGATCTCTTTCCATGAATTCACTTCCTCCAACCCTTTCCTAATCTCCAGGGCCAAGGATCCCTATTAAAGGGTCTGATAGGAAACTGGAAATAGGAGGGTTGACTAAGTGACTGATAGTGAGAGTCTATCCAATAATTATTAAGACTCTGTACATATTGCGTATATGGGTCAGTGGTTTGCATATTTCATGGTATAGTGAGGCTCCCTTCTTAAGACATGAGCATTGTTATCCATATCAGAGAAAAGCACAAAAGGAATGCAGTGAGGTGTATATTTGTAAAGGTCTATAATATGTCAACAAAGGCTATGGCATTTGAAGCATCGGGTGCAAAATTGTAATCCAGTGAGTGGTATGAATTTCAACAGCTTAAATGGGTTATAAAAAAATGAAAATAGTAAATCCATGTTACTGTGAGTAAGGCAATATCCAAAATCCTGCTCTACAACATTTCACTCAAGAGAATAAAGAATAAAAGTGTTGTTGGGTGCTGACATTACAAGTAAATGAAGACAGTGGAGGAATAAGGCAATAGGCTTGGAGATGGTGTCCACAAATTGGCTCTAGCCTGCAATTTTAAGGGTGCTATTGTTTTTTTGTCTTTAAAAAAAAGTGATAATTTAGTTGACCTTAATCAAACTATTTTTCACCCTCATACAGTTTTCTTCTAGTTGTCAATATTCATCTTTACCTTCCCAAATTTAGGATAAAACCACTAAGAGGGGAATGTCAAGGGCAAGTTCATCTGAATTCCATGGTCTTCAAGATAGCCACTATCAAAAAATATTTATGCTAACCAAGCACTCAAGTCAACCCTTTCCTTTTAAAGAAAAAATAAATAATGCTTGGCTATATTCCATACAGTTTCGATTACTCTAGTCAGGCTGCCTACAACATATATATTTATAGTGCTAAAGAAAACCAGGTGATAGAAAATACAAATCTACTTTGCCTTAAAACAATCTTATGTCAAAACATAAATTTATGAAATAGTTAAAAGTAGCATAAATAGAATTTCCTCCTTCATAATCCATTCAGCTTAAAGGATAGTCATTTAAAATATAACTATTAGTTTTAAATCAGTGTTTACTCTTCAGAATACACCTATGCTGTTTGTTAGAATACTGTATATAAATCACTGAAAATAATGCAGTCACTATTCTTTTCACTCTTATATTCAGTAAAGAAGTGCCTCTCATTCTAGTGAGAGATGAATGAGGGGGTATGGATGCTCAATAATGGTCTATGGGATGATTAAAGTTAACTGGGACAAACAGGTTTATACTTTAAATGTCTTTAAGACTTTAAGAAATATGTTTATTCATCTACATTCTACACAATCAAGACCAGTATTTAAATATGTGATTGTGTTTTCAGCAGATTTTTCCAAGTTCAAGGTAAATGAAAGATGTTAACTGAGGAAGAAAGTGAATTGGGATCATTCAAACATGACATGTTTTGGAATATGCTGATCTGGTTAAAATGGAACTGAACTAATTCCTACCTGGTTCCATCCTTGGAGCAAACAAGACAAAATACTCAAAGTTCATTGTAGGAAAATAATAGAGACTAGGAGGGTAGATACCTAGAAAAGCAGAAGGTGACACGGTGCCGTTGCTTCTTGAAACCATGACACTGATCCCCGTCTCCACAAAGGGCACAGAGAAGTCCACCACTTCTGAACGTTCCTCATTGATGGTGAGTGAGCCCACTGCCATGACCGCCCGCTGATTGACCACCTGGGTACAAGGCAAAAAAGCACAGCACCTTTATTTATCCCCGCTCCCCACTCCATCCCTGAGGACCTCAGGCCCTGAGTCTGAAGAGGAGCCCATGGGATGAGAAGAGAACTTACTTCCCCAATCATTCCATTCCACACGTTGTTCACTTTTTTGCCATGCTTCCCATTCGTCACCAGGTAGAGGTCATAGGTGAACTTCACCGTTCTGGAAAGCTTCTTTAGGATGTCAATGCAGAATCCCTTGCAGCATTTTTTCACATTCACTCCCTCATTGGTGGAATTACTGTAGAGGAAAATTCCAAAACCATAGGCTGTTAGTACTGGAAAATTTGTTCATAATCATTAGCTACGCTCTTCTGCTACTTTTCACATGGGAAATGGCGGCTCAAAGTGAGGAAGTGGCTTTTCCAAGGACACGCAGTGAGTTTATCACAGCAAAAGTGGATCGTGCTCTTAATTATAAGATCATCATGACAACGCCTAACAGTTATCGAGTAATTACTACTGGCTATGCACTGCGCTAAATGCTTTGTATTAATTATTGGATTAATCTCCATGACATTTCTCTTAATTAGGTAGTATTTGTATCCCTATTACACAGCGAGAGTGGCTGCCTCTTACTTTTAAAAGTTTATAGCACACATAACCTTTTCAGACCAGATCTGATCTAAGCTGATTTGTAAAAACGTCCTGGAAAATGAAAGAGGATGGGAAATTCACAGGGGAAGGTGAGTTTTGCTGTACCTTATCATTGCAGATAGAGGTCTGCAACCAGAGGGACAAAGTAAGAGTGACTGGTTTAGGAAATGCCTTTCTTTATTGAAAACAAAACTGCCTCAGCCAAGAAGCAGGAGACTTGAGGTTTATCCACTGCCTGAGTCCATAGATTCATGTCTCATGATTGAGTCATCTGTCTAACCAGGTCTCATTCATTCTTTTTGTTTGTTTGTTTTGTTTTCTGTTTTTTTTTTTTTTTTAATTTCTTTATTGATTAAGGCATTACATATGTGTCCTCATCCTCCCATTACCCCTCCAACCCCTCAACCCCCTGTTGTCTGTGTCCTCACTCCCCTGTTGTCTGTGTCCATTGATAAGGCTTCTATGCATGCATACATGTCCTATGGTTGATCTCTCCCCCTTACACCCACCCTCCCCTACCTTCATTCATTCTTAACATTTTCCCTCCCTACCTACATGGCAAGAAGGGTAAAAGGTGACACTATTAAACAGCAATGCCTTTAATCATAAAAAATCTGTTAAAATACAGAATTTTTTAAAATTGTCATAAAAGGTATCATAACCTACAGGGTTACAGTCATTGCTCTGAGCCAGCAAGCCACCTTGCTTTATCTGCCTGACAAAGTCATACTCAAAGGACACCCACAAAAATCAGAAATGCCTTTTAAAAAAGAAGGAAGCAGGAACCTTGACCATTGTTAGCCAAAAGCACGTAGAGACAATTCAGTCTCATCTCAGTCTCAGTCTCTGAGTTGCACACTGATTCCACCTTGCACTTGGCCATTCTATTAGCTCAACTCGCTGCCTTTGAGTCACACATGCCATGAGATATGTGCTCTGTTTGAATATCCCATTGTTGGCACATCTACACTCGAATTATTACCTGAAAACAGAAATCATGTTTACAGAAATTTAACCTCATAATAAGAAAATACCTACATTTCCGCATCATATGAAAAAGTAGGCTATATAATGCTATATACAGAATGCTCACAGCTACATAAAAACAGATGAGCTTAGGAAATATCTGAATGGAAAAACAATAAAATATGAAGCATAGATATTTGTGAATGGTGAAATTTTTTTTCCATATTAGCCCCCCTTACATTATCTATAGTAAGTACATACTACATACATAAATGGATATAAACACACATCAAGCACTATTAATGTAGATATTCATCTACACCCATTAGTATAAACAGATTTGATCAAATAACTTTGAGAAGTGAAATTGGGTTACAAAATGAAATCTTTATTTCAATGGTTTGCTTATCTCAGAATCACAGATCACCTCTTCTGAACGGCTGTTTCACCATTGCCTTCTTCCTATTCTATCCCCAGTCTCAACCAACTTGCTTCTCTCAGCCAGGATTACTGTGGAGACCTTATTTCTAGCCTACAGGCTGGATAACCTGCTCTGACCCTGCCACCCTCAGCTTAGAGGTCATGGGAGGTTACACCTGTGTATATTTACATATAATGACTGGTGGACTCAACTGCACAGTGTAACAGGAAGTAGGTACTTTGCCTATCCCCATAATTTCCCAGAGCAGAAGGGGGCCAGGATGGAATTACAACTGCTATAAGTATATTAAGTTAAGGGCATGTCCAAATAGGATTTCCTTCTTGGTATCTGTGACTCTGAAAAATGTGTAAAATCAAATTATCTTTCTTCCCAGACACCACAGGCCATGCATCAATACTTCTTGTCCACTTCTTCCCATTTGTGTCTCCCTCACTCTCTGCTGCTTTGCTTCTTTTATATTCCTTCCCCTGGTCAAGATTCCTGGAAGAGTTTGGACAAGAATTACAGATGCTCCAGGTTTAAGATTTCAGGGTCACTGGCATATAGTGACTTATATAATTCTTTGGCCTTCCTGGGCACTTTAACCAGTTTATGAGTTAATTATACTCCCACATCCCCTAATACTAAGTTAGATATGAAATTATTGATGCATTTCTAGATATGAAATTATTGATGCATTTTCATCCAACAAACACCACCGAGTGCATGTACCTACACCCAACAAATACCTACTCTATGCATGACATAGTACTAGGCCCTGAGGACATGGGATGAAGAAGACATGCAGCAAATGCAATAGTTGAATTTATCATGGGGGTTATGGAAACACAACCAGCTTGTAATGGGGAACTTGTAGTTGATTCCTATAACAGCCCGTGTGTGTGTGTGTGTGTGTGTGTGTGTGTGTGTGTGTGTGTGTGTATGTGTTACTTAACCACATTGACATCTGAGAAATGGTGTCCATGCACTCTCTCTCAGCTCTCTTCCATCACCCAAAAATAAAGGGTGACTCATAAAAACAAATATAGGGAAAAGGATCCAGTAAATCCAATTTTTTTGGCTCTACAGTTTCCCAGTGTGGCCCCTGGATGTAAGTATGGCTACACCAGTCAGACAGAGCTGCTTTCATATGCTAGGCCTGCTACTAACAACCATGAACACTCAGATGAGTCTCTTCACTCACAGCCTCGGTTTTCTCTTTTGCTAATTGAGAAGACTGATACTTACTTTGCAGGATAGTTGAGGAGATAAAATAAAGTACCTAAGCACCTCTCACATAAGCACTTAAACATGTATCTCTTCTCTTCTCACCAATGACTTAACAGTTTGGGGGATTAATTGATAGTATGGCCACATTTCTTTCTATGCAGCAAGGCCAGATAATTTTCCTTACCATTCAACTAGCAGGCTAGAAGAATACTCTGGTTTCTCAGCTCATTTCCCATTACCTGTGTTTTTAAAGACTTATGGGCGCCCTCCAGACCCTACTATTTACTAAAAGTGAGAGACAAAGGGTTTTCTCTGGGAGAACAGCTCCAAGAAAACAAATACCATCATGTTATCTAATAAGTATCCTTTTTAGAATCAATTGGCCTGCCTTATGTTACTTTAAGAAATGCAATTGATCCAATCGGTGTTAATGTTGGGTTTAGTGGAACCTAGTAATTTTCTATTGCTCTCCGGTAAAACAAAGATGAACGCTATCTAGATGCACAGTAAACTTTTTATGTCTCCAGGTGAGAAAGAGAAAGCTGCAAGTCATCACCTCCCACGGGAACTAACCATGTGAATCTGAACCAGTTAATCTGTTTATATTCTTCAGTGGAAAAGTCAATTCTCTCGGAGAGAGTCATTTATTTGGGGGTTCATTTTCTCCATACAAATGTGACTCAGGACTTGGTGATCTATTGCTTTTGGCTCCAGGGCTTCTGCTTTTAAGACTTTAAGCCCTATTATTGATTGTGAAGCGCAAGAGGCTCTACTTACTGGCCACAGTGAAATAGAAAAGGCATTGTTATCCTAAGGGAGGTTTTTCACAGAGGTTATACTCTTTGCTCTGTGCCAGCTACTTAGTTTTTTTCATTTGACCAAGTTCTACTCAAAGAACACACATTCACATCAAAACATTGACAACTATCCCATTGTTTCCCTAGTTCATCACTCTATAGCACTGCACTAGGCTTCATTCAGTTCCCCAAACTTGACGATTTCTTTCCTGCCTCAGGGCCATTGCACCTGCTGTTCCCTCTTCCTGGAAGGCACTTCCTCCAGTTCTTCTCATATTTGGCTCCTTTTAATATATATATATATATATATATATATATATATATATATATATATATATATTTTATAGAGAGGAAGGGAGAGGGATAGAGACTTAGAAACATCAATGAGAGAGACACCGATTCAGCTGCCTCCTGCACACCCTCTACTTGGGATGTGCCCACAACCAAGTTACATGCCCTTGACCGAATTGAACCTGGGACCTTTCAGTCCACAAGCTGACACTCTATCCACTGAGCCAAACCAGTTAGGGCACATTTGGCTCCTTTTCATCCTTTATATATGACCTTAATTCTTACCTGTGTGGGTTAAAGGAGCCCCACATCCATCAAACTACCATCCTCTCACACCACCTTCTTTACATCCTTCCCAAAGTCTACCAAACGTGGAACTGCCCTGGTCCTTCATTGGTTGAGTTGATTTTTACCTGTGCATGCTTCATGACTGCCAGACTTTTGTTTTTTCTGTCCATTGATGCATCCCATGTGCCCAGAACTTTGCCTCACTCATAAACTATGCTTAATGTGTATTTATTTATTAATCAATTCATTCAAAATTTCAATGCCAAAGAGGCTGACAACTCCAAAAAGGCTGATCATTATCTTTTGAATAATTTCTGAATTTAAATTCCAAAGTGGCTGAATACTGATAACAAAGTGTTCTCCAAACTGAAGTGTGCCTTCAAAATATATTTAGCAATCGTATTTTTAAAAAATTATCTGTCTCCCAAGAACTGAGCTCTGGGGATTTGCATCTTGTATAATGTGGGGGAAAATATCCTTTTACCCATGTTTTCAAGCATCATCAATATCAGTATGTCATGTTCTGTGCTTGCCACTGGGGGTACCAAATTAATAATTAATATTCCAAATTTGGGCAACTAATAATCCAAGAGGAAATACAGACAAACTACACCAGAAAAAAAATGGTAACAAAGAAAGAGATAGAGTGGAAGGGAGTGGATGTTTGTGTTCCTTCAAATTCATCTGTTGAAACCTAATCTCTAATGTGATGATATTTGGAGGGGGGACCTTGAGGATAATTTGGTCATGAAGATGAGGCCCTCATTAATGGAATTAGTGCCCTTATAAGAAGAGCCAGGAGAACATGTTACCTCTCCTCTACAATGTGAAGAAAGGACAATAAGCAGAGGACCCTTATCAGACAATTAATCTGCCCAACACCTTGATCTTGAATTTCCAGCCTCCAAAATTGTGAGAAATAAATGTCTGTTTTTTTAAGTCACACAGATTATGCTAACTTGTTATAACAGCCTGCACTAAGAAATGGACACATATCAAGAGTACTGCAGAAGTATGGAGAACTAATCTAACTTGGGGAGGGAGGAGTTAAGACAAGCAAGAACCAGTGAGGTGAAAGGAGGTGATCAGAAAATGCTCTGAACAAAAAAGTAGATTTCCATCCAACAGTAGGCCTTTTCCTTTAGTGAATCCACCCCAAGGGTGGTATTTTTGTTTATGTTTGCAATAGCAAAGACTATAATTAGGGGCTTGGAGTTGGCCATGAAGTCTTGTGCTTCTCCAAAAGGTTTATATGTTAGGGAGAAGCCGTCACCACAGGCTCTGATACAAAAGTCCATTCCTTTTTCAATTGTAATGAAAGAGGGAGTGGCATAGGTGCCATGCTTGCTTGCTGCTTCTGAGCTGGGATACTAGCAAAAGTTCAGGTCCCTTTGATCACACCAGAAAGTCATTTGTAAGGTGTGTGTTGATCCCCAAATGGAAAGAAAGGTTTTGAAAATTTTGGATCTAGGAAATATAAGAGATGGGAGGAAGTGAAAGGTGTGGGGTTGGGGAGGGAGTCAGCCAAAAAAATATAAAGAAATTAATTGTTTAAGTAACGATTGAAAGAGAGGGTTGATTCTGCATAATAGCTACAACATGGACTAGACTTTGAGTCCTGCCTCTTTCATTTACCAGCTGAATGGCTTTAAATGCGTACCTTCATTTTTTTCCCATAAAACTCCATTGTTATCTCGTCTGAAATGACAAAATTGCTTACCTTGCATTGCGGTTGCTGAAATTAAATAAGGCAAACCACCTGGAGCAATTCCAGTTTAAGTACTTAAAAAATTTATCATCCTATATAATAAATATGTAATATACAAATGGTCATTATGCCATGAAGCATAACAACCGACCAAGTAACACTGGAACACAGATCAGCAGGAGGGTGGGACAGTGAGCTACAAGTTGGCAGCGAGAGCTACAGGAGGGGGCAGGGCAGCAAGCTATAAGGGGAGTAGTGGGGGAGGGGGGGAGGGAGCTAAGCAAGTGGGGGGTGGTTGGGGGGAGCTACAGGAGGGCCAGGCAGCAGGCAGAGAGCTACTGGAGGATGTCAATGAGCTACTGGCACATGAATTTGTGCACAGGGCTACTAGTCATATTATCCTTATTATAACAGAGTGTATTTTACATTACTCTGTATTCTTTTACAGATTCTGTTCTTATCAAGGACAAATGCCATTTAAAGATTGGGTACATTCAACGTGACAGGGTCCCCGACTCACTTGATCTTGACGAACTTCCGACAGGGCACAGTGTTCCTCACACAGGACTCCGTCAGCGGGTCTATATCTTCCACAATGACAAAGGGGGCCTCCTCAAGGGTGACGATGCTCAGATGGTTGTCGTCCGGCTCACAGTCGGAAAAGGACTTGTACCTCGGCCACACAGCATGCCTCAGGCTCAGGGTCTGGTTCTCCCACTTGCCCACCTGCATCATAAAGATAAAAACAGGTGTGCTTTCTAGCACAACTGATTTCTAGAAAGGGGAGTCTTTCCCCATAAGAGGAATAGGAGAAAAATCCATCCATCTTAAGAGTTTTCCTGCTACTTGCCTCAGCATACGCATCTGCTTTACAAGTTGAGAAAACTGGGGACAGAGGGAGAGCAGAATATTGGGCACAGATGTGCCCCAGACTAATGACATCACAGGGTTTGCCTAAGCACTAACACTTTTAGAGCTCCCCAGGTGATTCCCAAGTCCTGCCAGAGTTCAGGATCACTGATGTCATGAAAATAGCACGAATTTTTAGAAGCAGAGAGACCTGGGCTTGAATCTGCAACTCCACCACTTATTAGCTGTACAACCCCCAGGCAAGCTCTTAATCACTATGAGTATCTGTTTCTCACCTAAAACTATTCCACCTACTTTAAAGATGCCTAAAGTTGGCATAATTCCAACTACTTTATAAAGATGTCGTGAGAATTTTTCATTGATTTGAGAGAAACATTAATTTGTTCTGCTTAGTTATGCATTCATTGGCTGATTCTTGTATGTGCCCTGACCCGGAACCGAACCCACAACTTTGGCATATCGGGACGATGCACTAACCAACTGAGCTACCCGATCAGGACAGGATGTGTGGGAATTAACAAGGCAATTTATGAAAAACATATAGCACAGTGCCGGGCACAGCGTAAGGACCACATAATTTTCTTTTTAAGTATAGAAGAGAGACCACAAAAAGGAGGAAGTATTTTTTAAATGCAATATTAAAAAAAAAAAAAAGAAGAAGAAGAAAGGGGAGAGGAAGATGAAGTACAGGGAAGATTCTGGGAAGAGACAACACCAGAGCAGGTGAGGAAACAAAAGCCAAGCTCAGACATTGGTTCTATTTAAGTTGCAGATTGAGGTGAACTTTTATTAATCCTGCACCGAGTGGAGACTTCTGCTTAGTACACATCAAGACCTGTCAAAACAGAATCGATGTGTTCCCTTGGAGCAACAGCCGGCGTCTTAGTGAAATCAAATTAAAGGCTGTATGTTTTGAACCTTAATTTTATTTGACAGCTTGTTGGCACTGTTCGCATGCACAGAGGAGAAAGCTGCCCCCAACACCGCACTTTCTCTTTCTTTGCCCTCCTCCCACGAGCAATTGCTTGACACCACAGGTCAGCCTTTAATTGTAATATCAAACTCAAGAAAAAGGCCTGGTCTGAAACGCTAAGTGCCAAGTCCAGGCTCCCCTGTGTTGACATGACCCACCGGCTCCTCCCCCTGGAATGTAAGTGTCACCGGAAATGAATTGCAGGTCCTTCAAGAGAATTCAGACTCTCTGGACACCAGGAGAGGCGGAGAGGTGGGGGGCGATAGAGGAGAAGGGAAGATAAGGCAGCCTATGTTCTCTAAGATGATCTCATCATTTGGACTGGAAAATCTTTGCTTCTTGTAGAGAAATAGGCCATGTGGCTAATTAAAAAAAAAATTAGCTTCATGGATACCTTTCTTTCTTTTTAATATATTTTATTGATTTTTTTATAGAGAGGAAGGGAGAGAGAGTTAGAAACATTGATGAGAGAGAAACATTGATCAGCTGCCTCTTGCACACCCCACACTGGGGATGTGCCCACAACCAAGGTACATGCCCCTGACCGGAATCGAACCCGGGACCTTTCAGTCTGCAGGCTGACGCTCTAGCCACTGAGCCTAACTGGTTTCAGCTGGATATCTTTCTTTTTAAGATAGGAAGGGGAGCAGAGTAGTTTGGGCAAATAAACATGTTCATGTATCCATACTGTGATATGTAACACTAGCTGGAGAGAATGTTGAGCCATCAAATTCTTCATTCCTTCAACACGGGTTTATTAAACACCAACTCTGAGCTGGCACCAGCCCGGGATCACTGATGGATGAAAACAGAACACTTCTTTCCTCCATAGAACTGTCAGTTGACTGCAGGTCAGAGATCAAACCTTTAATAATAAATAGATTAAAGGCATATCCAAGCTTTTCTTTTTGGGGAATGTTATGCCAACTCCCCTTGTTTTTTCTTCCAGAGGCTGGGTAGTTCAGTAGGAAAGCGAATGGCTTTTGGAGTCAAACAGAGTTAAATATTAATCCTGGCTTCACTCATTAGCTGAATAGCCTTAGGAAGGACAGTCATCCTTTCTGAGATTCACTTTCTCTATCTGTAAATTCAGATAATAACAGGATACACCTTTCAGGACTGTAGTGAGATTTGAATGAGCCAAAAATATGCAAGAAGCATTGAGCATAGAATTTAGCACATACTATACACAATAGCTGCTATTATTTTATTATTGTAGTAGTAGGCATTTAAGATGTAGCTCAAATATCACACAATCTTTAAAGGAATTCCTATGTTTCCTAGTAATATGGAACTTCGCACCTATCTCCACCATACCATTTGATGTTATAATTGTAACAATATCACTTTTGGGGCCAGGAAATATGACTATATCACCCAAAATCTTACACGATGAAGATTATTAGTCCAACTTCAAAATTCAAACAATGAAAGCACAGCTAATAAGTGGTGGAACTAGAGCTACAGCATGGGTCTGTCTGAGTCTAAAGATGCTTTCCTACCAGTGCATTTATTAATTGATCTGCATTCATCAGATTATTGCTCCAATACCCTTTCTTCCTTCAGAGACAAGCACTAAGGTCCCAAAAAAATACATAGAGGCAAAGACTGTTTAGCTAGCAGGTCTATGGTGATGTCATTGACCACATCACGTACCTTACTCAGTGGGAGGCAGGCAAAAGTACCATCCAGCTCAAGGCTGACTCACGGAGAGAGAGGTTGCAAGGGTTTATGAGTTCCCAGAGTGCAATAACTTCCTAAATCCTCTCTTTCTCCCTTCCCAACATGTTTAAGTAAGCACCCATGAGTTGGCCAGAGAGGGTGGAAGTGAGCGGTGGGTGGAAAAACTTGATCAGAAGCTGAAGTTGCTGTGTAAACAATGCCCTAGATCCTGAGAGCTCTTGTCTACTTCTCTGAGTCTGACAGGCTCCCATTCCAGACACCAAATATCCCAACTCCAAGATTTTACATACCAGACAGAGAACAGACATCCTTCTGTTTCCCCTCTGATATCCAAAGGACGATAAATGAGTCCAGTGTTTACAAACATAAGTATTTATTGAATGGCTACTGGGTACCAAGAACTTAGTGTGCTAGACACTAAGGATACTATAGAGAAAACGACAAATCACTTGCATGGAATTCTTACGCTAATTGGGAAGACACACATGGGTCAAATAATTACACAAAAGTTTATATCATGCAAACCAGGAGGAAGAAAAAAAGTGAGTGGGTATATGAGAGAAGAGAGGGGGAAAGAAATCACATAAGGCTTTCCAGAGGAGGTGACACAAACTGAGACTGCAAATCTAAGGTAAGTGGGTAGGAAGTAAAAGTAAGAAAGAGTACTCCAAGAAGGCATGGGCCAGATTATGCAAAACCTTGTAGGTCCTGTCAAGGAGTTGAGATTTACCCTGAGAGTTAATTTAGTCTGTTTAGCCAAAATGGAAAATGATATATGAAGTCATCATGAACATATTTCTGTATATTACCTGTCCAAAAGTGAAGGTTCTTTGCTTCCTCAATCCATTTTCTTCCTTTTATATTATGAAAAAAATTAACTCATACAAAAGAGGTGGTAAAATAAATCTCCATATTCCCATTTTTTCCCTTCATTAGTTACTAACTCATGCCAGTCTTGTTTCATTTATACTTTGCCACTTTTTCCATGCTATATTGAAGAAAGTCCCAACTATCATGTCATTTCATTCACAAATTCTTATTTTGATTTAAATATCTAACCTCCACTTGCTTAATAATAGCATACCTCAACATTCTATATATTTATGTATTTGCTTCACTCGTTAGATTATGATTCCCCAGTCTAGCGGAGATTTTTTTTTTTTTTTTTTAATGGTGATTGATTGCTATGTCTCTAGCTTTGAACTCAGGCTCTAGTACAAGGAGGGACTTAGTGGGTAGTTGTTGATGGAATGAATGAACACACAGCTTGAATTTTTTTTAAATGTCCATGAGTCAGAAAATACTAGTAGATTGATCAGTGTATCCTTATATGCCTCAGCTATGGAATCTTGCACCCTGAGGAATGACCTAAACTGAGCCCATGAGGATTTTCCCTGGGACTTTTGCTGGGACTAGTATAACAGGGTGGGCATGACAAAAGAACCAGAGATTAAACATGGAGCTAAAAAACAGAGCAGAGAGCAGTAAAGTCTTGATAGCATTGCCTAAGCTCTTATAACAATAAAAGTTGACAATCACTAATGCCTTTGTACCATTCTTAGCATTAGTTTATTTTTTAAAAATATATTTTATTGATTTTTTACAGAGAGTAAGGGAAAGAGATAGAAAGCTAGAAACATTGATGAGAGAGAAACATTAACCAGTTGCCTCCTGCACATCCCCTACTGGGGATATGCCTGCAACCAAGGTACATGCCCTTGACTGGAATCGAACCTGGGACCTTTCAGTCTGCAGGCTGATGCTCTCTCTATCCACTGAGTCAAACCGGTTTCGGCATTAATTTAATTCTTATAAACAGTTCACTTTATATAAGAAAAAAAGGCAAGGGAAGATGATTTTTATCTCTATCATGAATTTTTTTGTACTTAAAAACATTCCCAAACTCACCCTGATAGACTGTGTGAGAGAAGAAAAAAAATCTTTGCCTTCAAAATAAACTGCATTTTGGTGATAAACCTTTGAGGGTTTTCAGCAAGTACACTGAAGTTTTGAGGACAAAGAAAAATAATTGACCTCTGATGGAGAAAAGTTATTTTATTAAAAGAAATACGAAAAGGGAAAATTAACTTTGTAATGATTTTTTATTCATTCTTATTAATAAATTTAAATTCGCTTTTAGAAAGTGAATTGCTCATAAGGCCCTAGAAAGCATTTTGTGAAAGGGTAGTGATTACTTCTT